GGGAAGCGGCCTCCGCCACCGCCGCGTTTTGGGGGAGAAGCGCGGGGCTGCACCCCATTATAAACAAAAATGACCTAAAAGCAAAAAGCTGAGGGGTGTGGGATGCTAAACTTCCCTGCATGCTTTGGGTTAAACTGGGTTAATGGCATCGGGGGGTGCCAGCACCCTGGCATCGGTCCCTGCGCCCAGCGGGCAGGGCAGGCACCCGCTGTCATGGCCCAAAGTGTCACCTCGGCACCTTCGGCATCACCGCTTTTGGGTCACGTCCTTTATGGATGCCCACGCTGACTTCAAAAACGCTTCATCCGCGTTCTGCAGTCAAGGGCACAACCCTAGAGAAACCCAGAGCTGCTCAGGAAAGCTAAAGAAACGCCGCATTTCACGCTGAAATATCCAAGATGGACGGGCAGGGGAAGAAAACCACGCACTCCCTGCACTTCCGAAGCAAGTGGCACCCACACCAAGCCACTGCCCTGCTCCCACACGTCCTGCTCTTCTCCGAGCAGATCCCAGGGAGAAATGAGATGGGCCCTGGCCTGGAAAGAGATGAAGAAACGCCCTCGTGTCCCTTCCCGCCATTTCAGGAGCAACCTGTGCCTCTCCCTGCCCCAGCACAGGGCCGGGCCCTTGTCACCCACATCTCCTCTTGCTCGGATGACAAACATTCACCTCAAATATACGTTCACCTCAGATACACGTTCACCTCATCCTAATGCCTGGTGTTCCCATGTTCCCACAGCCACCCTGTTTAACCCTTTTGAGACACAACTCCAGTTCCACACGAGCGCGGCCTGGAAATTCGGCCTTGCACCTCTGCTTTCGGCGGCACCCGAGACGTAAAGGCCTAACGGCTCCCCGTACGCGCCGTAAAGAAAACCAGGATATGTTTTACGCCTCTCACCGACTTATTCCCTAATTTATGGGTTCGCTTCGCTCCAGCGCTTGTTGTCAAACCCAACCGTAAAGCTGTGGGGTCAGAGTCCCTGAGGCCCCTGGGGCTCAGAAATAACCAGTAATCCCCCAAAATCCACGGCGCTCGCAAGGTGCTGCCCTTCAAACTGGGTCAGAAACCTTCAGGGATTTATTTTTTAGCGTGTTTTTAGAGACTGAATGAAGGTTTGGGCTCTGAAGGGCAACACAGGCCGGGCTGGAGGTGGAGAGGGAAGGGAGGCCAAGCACCAGGAGGAGCAGGGGAGGAGGGAGGGAGGCCGGCGGTCATGAAATTACGGGGGAAACCAGCCAAAATAAATGCCAGCTTCCACAGCGTCGTGGAGCTGGGTGTAACTCCTCCTCGCTTAAAACTTGATTTATTCTTCTGATGGTTTTTTACAGCTGAATTTTCACACAGCGAACGCCAGTGGGCTGAGGCAAACGAACTCGTTTCGCTGTGACAGGCTCAGTCGCAGGGAGGGTTTGAGGAGCTAGAAAAGGCAGCTCTTTTTAAAAAATCGTGTATTTCCTCTGAAGAAGTGTCACTCTTTCAAGAGAAATAGTCACTATTTTCAGGTTTTGATCACAGTGGGACTCTCACGTTATCACGACATGAGCGAACGGCGCACACGGAAATCCCGCTCGGATTCCAATGTGCAAAAGCCTCCAGATTTGTTTCCCCCTGTATTTTCAGCAGGCAATCAGGGGGGCGTAGGTGAGGAGTAACCAGATGAACAATATTTTCTGCCTGGCCCCTGCCTTTCAGCCGTTCTCCCACAATGTAACGAGTGGATTACTTAATCCCATCAATAACCTGCCCCAAAAAATGTTTAGCAGATCATTTCACCAAGGAAGAACTGCACCGATAACCCCATTTAAATGGAGATATAAATTATCAGGAGCTGGCAAAGGAAACAACTCAATAACTCGGTCGGTAACAGCGAAAGTCACAGGGGTGAAATTTACGGCGCTGGTAAAAATGGTAATACACTGCCTACAAAGAGAGAAGAAACCGCAGATGTGGACGAGTGACTTTCTGATCTGCCAGAAAAGACATTCGAGATTTGAAGATGTTAATATTCCTAAAAGAGAGCCCGAATTTAGCAAATCACTCTGACTCACGCCGGGAGGTTGGAGGAGATGATGAATAACGAGCCGGGGAAAAAACCACGCCATTCTGGAATAGGACACCATGAAGAAATGATCACGTTGCTGCCATTTTTGGGAGCCTGCCTGCAAGTTCCAGCCACCTTTTCCTCTTCAGTTCTTCCAGAAAGCTGGCCATCCCGGCAACAAGTCACCAACAGCTTTAATTTCTCAGTATTCAAGAGGTCTGGTTCGCTGCGGGTGCAGCGGGCGCTGCCCCAACGCCCCCGGCCGAGCCGAGCATCCCGGGATGCTCATGGGTTGGGTGGATGTGGTGCCAGGCTCAAGCCTTGGGGATGTGGACTCCACAGAAATAGCCCTGAAAACAGCTATCAATGAGGTGTATTAGCTGCTGGGTTCACTGCTTGGTGCTGGGAGGAGCTGGGGCTGAGAAATCCCGTTCCACGGGCTGGTGGGGAGCTCTGCGCTCCCCAAGCACTGAGGGTCTCTCCATGGGTCAGCCCCAGCAAGGAGACATAAGAGGTGATCTTTCCTCCTTCCTTGGCTCTCCTCAACCCCTTCTGCCTCTCCTCTGGCCGTACCATTGCCAGAATATTTCAACTATTGAAATGTGTCCCCGTTTTGCTGCCCTGTGCAGGGCGAGTGGGACAGGAGGGCACCCCTGCGGTGTGACAGCGCAACGGGGCTTGGGCAGCCCCATCCCGGCCATCACACAGGGCGAAAGGAGGAAAAACACCTACGCAGGCACGGCACAAATGTAACACATGGGCTGTAAAACACAACTGCGGCCGAGAGCAAGCCGCTCAAACAGGTACCTGCTACAGGGAAAGCTTCGTGACGAGAAGAAACCCAGCAACCCGCAGGCCAGAGGCTCTGGAAGGCACGGCCAAACTCCGTTGCAAGTCAGCTCTCAACGAGAGCACGGATGAAATCGCAAGTGCATCACCAAACGGCAACGCGGAGCGGCTACGGGGGGTGAAAAATGTCAGCCGGAATCGACTTCCTCGCTGCAGCAAGCTGCTCTGCATTAGCTCTGTCAGCTCTGCACAGAGGGCAGAAAACTCTTCTAAGTGGGTGAAAAAAAACCCTAAACTCTTTTAAGTCAGTAAATAAACCCCCTAAAATGCTTTTTAATGGGGAAAAAAAGCCCAAAACTCTTTAAAATGGGTAACAAAACCACCCCAAAACTCTTCTAAGTGAGCAAATAAACCCCAAAATTCTTTTAAGTGAGTAAATAAACCCCAATTTTAAGTGGGTTAAAGAACACCCCAAAGCTCTTTTAAGTGGGTAACAAAAAACACCTCAAAACTCTTTTAAGTGGGTAAAAAACCCCCCAAAACTCTTTAAAGTGAGTTAAAAAACCCCAACATTCTTTTAAGAAACCTGCAAAACTCTTTTAAATGGGTTAAAAAAACCCCAAATCTCTTTTAAATGAGTAATAAACTCCCTAAAAATCTTTTGAATAGGTAAAAAAAAGACCCCAAAACTCTTTTAAGTGGGTAGGAAAAAAACCCAGAACTCTTTTGAATGGGCTTAAAAAAAACCCCCGAAAGTCTTTTAAGTGAGTAAAAAACCCCCAAAACTCTCTCAAGTGGGTAAAAACCACCCCCAAAAGTCTTTGAAGTGGGTTAAAAACCCCCACAAACCTCTTTTAATTGGGGGGAAAAACAGCCCAAAACTCTTTTAAATGGGTAAAGAACCCTCTAAATTCTTCTAAATGGGTAACAAAAACACCCCAAAATGCTTTTAAGTGGGTTAAAACCCCCCTAAAACTCTTTTAATGGGTAAAAAACTCTCTAAATTATTCTAAATGAGTAACAAAAGCACCCCAAAATGCTTTTAAA